TGACCGATAATTTTACCCTCATCCAATAACTATAATTTATTTTACAAATACCAAACGTAGTAATTTATCTATATTATTTTTAACAAAATTTTATTGAAATAAAAACTAAAATCAAATTATTGAAGAGCACTATGTAAATATAAAATATTATCTATTGTTTATTGCTATTGTGTCAATAATTTCATTAAAATACAGCCATACTTCATCATTCTGCTTTTTTTTTTTTTGACATTTTAATTTCATTCTCCTTTTTTTAGGTTAAATTTAAAATTTTATTTCCTTTTTGTTTTTAAAAAAAAAAATTACAATATTTCAATAATGTAACGCGACAAAATTAAATTTTTCCATATTTCTTTATAAAATACAATTAGAGGCTCAAATTTAATAAAAAAATCCGGGCTGGTACTTTGTACCCGGACCCGGCCCGTTGCAGGTCTCTAATCTATAACAAATAGCGCGTTAAAAAATATTTTTTTCAACTTTTCATTTTAACTTACAATTAAATAATGGTTTTAGTATGTTATCAAGAAGTTGTCAAAAATTATGAAAATTTTCTTGAAATTGACGAAGGATGTGATGTGATTATATATGCCGGTGAAAATTTAAACGTTTAAGAACTACATGCTAATTCAAAAATTTTACGTATCGTATAAACAATGTTACTAGTATAAAGCATATTTCAGTTGTGACTTGTCGAAATCAGAGGGTCCTTCCTGAATTATACCATCCAGGGATTTTACAAAATTAATTTATCAAATTCAAGTCCTTTACAAAATTGTATAATTTGTCTTGTAAAAATTTGTGAAGTCCCTAAACTTTGATTGGAATTACTTTTGAAGCAGGGTGATTTAGGTTTAGAATCATTTCTATTGATTTCACCAAATGGAAAATTCAATTATCGAAAGAACACTTCATATTTATTAGATATTTTTATATTTCATCAGAAAAAATTTCTTGTAGAAAATTACTGATCAATCAACGTTAATTTGGCATAATATACAACCATTTTAGTTTGTGTTACGATGTTTGATTTAAATTTTTCGCGCTAGTCGAGATGGTATGTGATAAAAAGGAGGCTTTTATTGACATAATAAATTCAGAGCAACTGGTTGGAGGATATAATCCATTTGAGTTGATTTACATAATCGTTATAAGCCAACCAAGGATATTTTTTATAATCATTAATGTGATGAATTGTCTATAGGTTGTTGGGATGGTTACGAGCCTTTGTTTGGCTACATCAATGATTTATATATATTTATGATGGTCGTTGCTGTGCGGTAGCTCATGTTATTCTAATTTTGGTATACCTGCAAGTTTAAGTGGATGATTATAAAAATATAAAAAATAAATTTATTTCAATTATATACGTTCTGTATTTTAAATTGCGTCATCGTTTAATTATGTGACACATTGAACAGATAAATGAAGTTCTAATCTAGCTAAATAAATTTCCAGGCGCAGAAAATAATTTCCTGATTTGTATATAACAATAAATATTGAAAAAATAATTATTTTCAATTTTACACTTTTAACTTAAAATAAATATGTCGTTAGAATGTTATCAAGAAGTTGTCAATGATTATGAAAAATTACTTGAAATTGACGCAGGACATGATGTAATTATTTACGTCGGCGAAAATGAAGACGTTAAAGAACTACATGCTCATTCAAATATTTTACGTATTAGGTCGCAATATTTTCAAAATGAATTAACTAAAGAAAATGTTGAGAAAAGGGAGGGAAAATTTATTATAAAATTGCCCAATATTTCTTCGCAACTTTTTAAAATTATCCTAAGGTAAATGAAATAAATAAATATTAATTATGTGAAAACTGTTTCTAATATGCACGTTTTCTTTTGTAATTACAGATTCATATATTGTGGAAAGATTGACTTGACGAAATTAGAAGGTTCTGAATTATTAAAACTATCGGTAGCAGTCGATGCGCTTAAGCTCCAATCTTTAATGTCCCGAATTAAAGAATGTTTAATTAAAGATCAATATGATCTTTTGCAAATTATTTGTCAACACGAGTCCATTACAGAATTATTGAATGTTTATATCGAAAGAATTTGTGCAGATCCCAAAGCGTTTTCCGAAAAAATTATTAGTATAAAAGAACCATTATTGGAATTACTTTTAAAACGAGATGATTTATGTTTAGAAGAAATTGATATTTGGAATAGTTTAATTAAGTGGGTCTTTGCTCGGAATCCGACTATTCCTAAAGATGTCACCAAATGGAGCACTGTTGAAATTGAAAAAATGGAAGTAACTATTCGCAGATTTATCCATTCGGTTAGGTTTTATCATATTTCTTCAGAAGATTTTCTTGAAAAAGTACTTCCTTTTAGAAAATTACTACCAGAGGATTTAATTAATAATCTCTTAAAATTTTATTTGGCACCAAATAAGGAATCAAATATCAATATTGACAAACAACCGCCTAGATTTTCATTAAGCTCAATATTGATTAAATCTCGACATTTTGCCATATTTTCGAGTTGGATCGATAGGAAGAACGATTTGTATTACATGCCTTATAGGTTTAATTTAATTTTTCGCGCTAGTCGGGATGGTATGACACAAGCAGCATTTCATCAAGGATGTGATAACAAAGGGGCTACAGTTGTTATAATAAAAATCAAAGGTTCAGAGCAACTTGTGGGAGGATATAATCCACTTGAATGGGATTCAAGGAATCATTACAAGTCAACCAAGGATAGTTTTATATTCTCATTTAAAAATGAAACGAACCATCAAACTGCAAATGTAGGTTATAGTAATGGGAGTCAAAATTCTATTGGTTGTTGGACAGATTATGGGCCTATGTTTGGTGGAGTCAGTGATTTAGTATTTCATCATGATGGTAGATGTTCGAGCAAAAAGTATTGTTATCCTGATGTTGATATACCTGAAAGTTTTAATGTGGATGATTATGAAGTATTTCAAGTTATTAAAAGATAAATATGTGTATTATTTATATGGGTCTTTATTTTCTACGCACCTGCACAAAATTTAGGGGGTGTTATATAATGGTGACAAATAAAAATTTCTATAAAAAAAAATTCTGTCCCCAGAATAAACCGTTAAAATGAAACACTTAGGGTGTGATGCGTTGTGATAAATAACATAACCCCTAACCCTAACCCTAATCCTAATCCTAACCCTAACCTAACCCTAACTCCGCTTCAACATATATAAATATAGGGGGGTGCATTTTGTGCAGGGTGCGTAAAATACAATTTCACAATTTATATTATTTGGTAATTTATTGTTACGTTTATTCAATAAAGAAATTTTTTGAAGAAACAAAAGTTTTTGAGAACTTTTGAATATCTATATTGATTATTTAGTTTCGACAGTTTATTCCCGAAATCTTAAAGGAAATTTTCGCGTGTTAAATTATTGTGCACATTAGCAGTATCGAAAATGAAAATAATACAAAGGTTTCGATATTGTCAAATTTTTTTCTGCAGTTTCGGCGGCAAAGCCAAAACCTTTGATATTAAAATGAGATTTTCAATATCCCAAAGTAAAGTTCATTTCGTGTACGTGACTTATATTATATGTATATATAGTTTCAAGAGAATTTTCATAAATTTATCATTTAGAATTATATGACCGCAAAATTGTACCTGCCTCATATGATGAAAATGTTTAATAGTTAATATATTGAATCATTTATTGTTATAGAAAAAGCGTAGCTTAGTATTAATCCAGGATTTTAAATAAATAGTTGGCCTTGAGTCGACAGCGTTTTTCAGATAAAGTTTCAGAATAAGTCTTGGGACTAGACTTAAAACTCTATTTTACACTTCTTTCAACCTCCTTCTTGTCTTCATATAGGTTTTGATCGTGATAATCGACTACACAAGAAGGTAATTAAATGAGTAAGATTCATTGCTAACTATAAAGAACATTTTATTAATGCTCTTCCTTTTATATTACGAACTTTCGGAACGGTCCTTGTAAGGTAGGTATTTGTAAAACTCCGAAGTACTACTCCTCAATAATCTTCACAATACTACACCACATAATAAAACGTAGACTCTACGCAATTAAACATACTAAATTATTTCCTGATGAAAAGTTTTTTTTTTTGAATTAGTCATGATATTTCTGTTTTTAAGCAGAAATAAACATTATTTGCTTGTTTCATCATATCTGCATAAGAATTTATCACCATAAATTTTTGGACGTTCAACCAATCCATATTACTTGATTCTCACAATCTGTCGCTACGACAAACTTCTGATACATAATAATCAAACATCATATTACTCGTTAACCAAGGTTCAATCCAAGTAAATCTTTTTTACTTAACTATCCTGTTTTACAAACACCTGATCTAATATAGGATATTTTATACTTAGAATAACTATAACGACGAGTAAACCATAAAAATCGGTCGCTACACATGTCAGCGAAATAATTTTCATCATTACTATGTATTTTTGTCACAAATGACAACTCATTCCTAAATTGTTTTGGTGGTAATCGTGGTTATCTTTATGTTGGGAAAAGTTTAATGTGATAATACGCGATAAGACGGTAAGTGGTTAACCAAATGAGTATTATATTTGATGTTGAGTATGACTTTTTCATACTACTGTAAATCGCTAGGTAGGGTTAGAGCTATGGTTCGGAGTTTTAGTATAATCAAATCAATTAAACCACACAATACAATACTCATTTGGTCAACCATCCTCCGTATCACTCTATAATATTAGCAATTAAATTTAATTTATTCTTGGGAGGTAACGTCAATTGTCTATGTTTTCTACAAAATATAATTTTTCAATTGGAAAATCAGATTTCAAAAGTTTACTTTTTATTTAATTTTATTGAATAATATATCATTAAAATATTTAATTAAACTTAACAAATGGATATATAGTTTAATGTTGATCTCAAATGTTCAATTACGTCGAATTTGCAAAAATTTAAATCGACATATATTAGTAAGTAATCTCCTTATCGCAGAATTTCAAATTAATAGTTAATAATTCGTTCTCGCTGAGTACGGTGAAAGTAGTCGGTTTGAATACAGCGAACACCTGCAATGCATTTTGCACATATATCTTCTTTATGAGATGTGCCATTCAAATATGAACGTACTAAAGGTTCGTAATTCAAGATGATTCCATCATGGTCGCATTTCTTGCATCCCGTGTAATTCCTGCGTTTATCACGGCATTCAAAGCATCTTTCGCGTTTATCCTTGCATGCATTGCATTTTTTTCGCATTTTTACGCAATTCTTCTCTTTGCAAAAGTTTTTGCATGCAAAACACTTTTGCTTGTAAAAATCGTTTGGACTAAAATAAACTGCTGGAGTTTGCTCTAAATACTTTCGGAGTGATATCCAAGTGTAAGAGCTATGCCATTTATGAGAAAACGGTTCACATTTCCATTCGGAGATCACTCTATAGTGATTGTTCCATTCTAGGTGACAGATGATCTCGATGGTAGGCACACTCTGTGGAAATTTAAATTAGATTATAATATATTTGAACGGAAAAATACTTTCGTAATCGACTCGACCTACGTTTGAATGCCTTGGTGGTTGGTCGTATAAAAAGAAGCTCGTTATCAGGCTCCTATTTTTGCACTTCTCGCATGGCTTAGTGAAAAAAGCGTGTTGAATTCTTGGAGGTAACTTTAGAAACGTTTCAAGTGATTTCTGAGGATATTGGATTTGCCATCCAACTTCATTTCTACATTTTCTTGACCATTGGCATAACCAATTGCCGTACACTATATAGTCATCATACTGTAGTAGATGATTAACGATTTCGGTAATCTACAAGAATATACGTTAGCGGGAATGCGAGAAATTTTGGCATAATACAAAAGTGAAAATTGCTGTAATCATTTAGACCTGCTTGACATTCTCCTCCTTGAAGCGAGTCTATAAAATAGGATATTTAGATTAGCATGCGGCTTGCAAGCATTCCCTGCATGTAATATAAATTGAAAAATACCGAGTCGATATGATGGTGGAGAAGAGGAAATATTATCTCGTCTTTCGGCTCTATCTATGGAAAATTAAAGTAGAATATAAGAAATCATAATTCTGAACAGCAAAAATTTACGTAATTATTTTGACCTGCTTGAAATTCTCCGCCTTGATGCGAATCTATAATACAGGATATTTAGTTTAGCATGCATGCTAACAAGCATTCCCGGCATGTAATAAAAATTGAACAAATACCGTTTTAAAATTGTTGTAGAGATGATAACAGTTTATCTTGGTGTTGGTCTCATTCTATGGAGATTTAAAGTAGATTATAAAAGATCATATTTCTAAACGGAAAAAATTTATGTAACTCAAACCTACGTTTGAATGCTTTAGTGGTTGGTCGAACAAAAAGAAGCTCAAGATCATGCTCCTATTTCTGCATTTCTCGCATGTTCTGAAGAAAAATTCGTGTTGACATCTTGGAGGTAACATATGATACTTTTCAAGTGATTCCCGAGGATATAGGATTTGCCATCTAAATCCATTATTACACTTACTAGGCCATTGGCATGACCAATTGCCGTAAACTATATAGTCATCATACTGTAGTAGGCGATTAACGATTTCGGTAATCTAAAAGAATAAGTGTTAGCGGGAATGCGAGAAATTTTGGCATACCACAAAAGGGTGAAAAATAATGTAATATTTAGACCTGATTGACATCCTCCGACCTGGAGCGAGTCTATAAAATTGGATATTTTAGGTTAGCATTCATTTTCGGCATGTAATAAAAATTGAACAAATACCGTCTCGACATGATAATAGGGATGAGGACAGATTATCTCGATGGTGGGCTCATTCTATGGAAATTTAAAGTAGAATATAAGAAATTATATTTCTGAACGGAAAAACAATTTCATAATTAACTCAACCTACGTTCAAATTCCTTGGTAGTTGGTCGTACAAAATAAAGCTAGAGATCAGGCTCTCATTTTTGCATTCCTTGCATGGCTTGATGAAAAATTTATGCTGAAGTATTGGAGGTAACTTAAGATATGTTTCAAGTGATTCCCGAAGATATAAGATTCTCCATCCTTTTTCATTTCTGCACTTATTTGGCCATTGGCATGACCAATTTCCGAACACTATATAGTCGTCATTCTGCAGTAGGTGATTAACGATTTCGGTGATCTAAAGAATAAATGTTAGCGGGAGTGCAATAAATTTTTGCGTGTTACAAGTGGGCAAAATCATTTTGACCTGCTCGATATCCTCCTTACTGGCGCGAGCCTATAAGACGGAAGATTTAGGTTAGCATACATGTTTTCAAGAATTCCTGGCATGTAATAGAATTAATAGAAGTTGAACAAATACCGTCTCGACTAAGAGATGAGGAAATGATGTAGTACTTTCCGATACTTCTTCTATTGGCTATAAATAGGTTAATTATTAAAATTATCTTTTGAGTGAGTAGAGGCCTGCATTGGCACGATGCGCTGGCCCGGAACAATATGGCGGTTGTTATTAAAATCACGTTCCGATCATATGATTTATTTACTAAGTCGCGTGTCTTGATTTTAATAGCATTTATCCTGCCCAGGAAAAATTTTTTCCAACATTCAATTTGGACCCGGTCCGATGCAGACCTCCACATTTGAGGGGTTTTGTATATTAACCTTTTCCTGTTGGCTTACTTTATCCCACGATCCACTTTCATCCCAATCCCAGGAAATCTGTTAATCGATCAAAGATGTTAACATGACTGTCAACACCAAACATTCGGGGTCATTGTGTATTAACCTGTCCATTATTCCAACCGCCGAAAATCTTTTAATAAAGATTGACATTAACATGATGACTACAACAGAGTAAAAAAGATTTTCATAGTACATAATAGAAATTTGAAAAAGAAGTATACATCCGTCTTCTCATTGAGGATTGATAATGATGTTTTATGTTCCAGATTCTCTGAGGAATACAATTTATTTCTTGAAGGGTCTATCTCTATTGCCTCAAATAGTTCTATCGTATTATCAAAATCTTCAATAAATGTTTTATCTTTTGCATCCTATAAAGTGCAGTTAAAAGTTTACATTAAGACAACCTTCTTTCATTAATTTATTATATTTTTGTTGGTTCAGATACTTTATCTTTAATTATTTTTTAAAATAAAGCAGCCTACGAACACTTACGTTCATTTTTGGTGGATGTTTTACTAAATGGCTTTTTTCAAAATCTAGATGAAAAAAGTCTATATATAAAACCAATTATTCTCTCACGGAAATTTGTTGACAATTTTTTTCTTTTAAATCATTATTTACGTATTGTTTGATGGTAAATTAAATGCTCATTTGTCAGAATACCTGTATTTAATTATACTAATTGATTTACAACTTTACATCATTAGAAACAAATATTTAATGTAAACAATTAATTTTTTGGTTAATGATTCTATATTAGTCCCGTATGTATGACACGTGAAATTCATAAACGTGAAATTAGTTTGGGGAAAAACAACTGACGAATTTTATTGGCCAGATTTGCTTCGTGTAACATTTGTCTTAATTACCACGAGTACGCGCGACAGGTGTCAAAGTTTTCCTAGTTGTTATTTTACTGATGTAATTAACAATTGAATTTAAGAAAAAAAAAATTTATACTAAAGCAAATGTAAACGATTAGCTAAGTACTCGAGAAAAAATTTATTTTTTTTTTATAGAAAATTAATAAATTATTGTTAAAATTATATATAAAAGAATTTTTTTTTAAAAAAAAAATTTACAATGTTATAATAATGTTCAACTGACATCTTTGCAAAAGAAAAAATTTTAATTTTTAAAAATAACCACACAAACCTGGGTTGTACCCTTATCGTAAACCTGGGCGTACGATAAGATTTTAAATATAATAAATTATTTTCGTTAATTTGCTTCTTGAAAGGTATGTCTTTTTTTTTTATTTCATTTTATGGCTGAAATTAAATTTTACTGAAACTTAGGTGAAGTGGTATCAAGTAATATATATGTTAGGCTTGAAAGAAGATATTTTGTATTGCTATCGGCTTTATAGAAACTTACATAGATTTGTTAGCTTATACTTTATTAGCTTTAAAAGATAAAATACAGACTGTCTGGATCAAATTTTGAGAAATATGTGGGACCTTTGTAATAGAAAGGGAGAAAAGTTCTATTTTACTTTTATATGCCAAATATGATTTTTAGGTCGAAATATGTTTCAGATTTAGAACTTATCTCATTTTTTATAGTTTCCCCCTTTTCTGTTGCAAAGGTCCCATACGTTTATTTATATTAACGATAAATTTTTTAAATAATCATAAAGATAATAAATCTATAAAAATTGCGAGAAATATTTCTGGATAAAAATTTATCGCTTTTTTACTTGCAATAAGATAATTTTTCTTGATTACTTACGCGCCGTGAGAAACCGCGAAATTTTTCCTTAAAACTTGTAACGTTTGGACTTTTTTGTGATACTGTAACTATATGAAATTCATGAATTAAATCATGTGATAATACGTGTTTATATACTTCATGAAAAGAAATATCATTAAAAGAAAATCTGTTACTCTATTAGCCTCTGATTGATGAGAAATTTCAACAAATTTTATTTATTCCTATAAAGATACTCTCAAAATGGTAATGGTCTTTGATCTAACCAATAATAAAATTAAATAATAAGGTAAAAAAAGTAACTTTTTTAATACTTTATCCGTAATAATGATCATTAAATTTGATCGTTACTTTTTCTTTCAGGCATTTTTTTTTTTTTAAAAAAAAAAAAAAAATAAATATACTTTACTGTATACAATTAATTCCAAATTGGCCAAATGATCGATCGTTCCAGAAACCGGTCAGTCATCAATAAAAAAATGTTTCCCACCTTTGATTTTGGTGTAAAAAATCCGTCTGATGTTTGACGGAAATTCTCGAAGATAAGTTCGTAACCGCCAGGATACATCTTAAAAATTCAATACTTCCAATATTTCCTAAATAAATGTATAAATGATTAGGTTATTTCTTTTAAATCAAATCAGGATCGTAATAAATATTTTGTGGTATACAATTTACCAAAGATAAAGATTTGAATGAGCTTGAAATTTCTTTAATATTTGGTTTCTCCCCGACATAAACAATAACATCGCACCTGCTTTTAAAATTTTTGCGTATTCCATGGATGGCTCTAATTTTCGATAAATCACAAATTGGAATCAACAAAAGTAGGAAACATGTGACGCGAAAATTCAAGCGACAATTAACAGCTTATAATTTAACCTGTTTTTTTTTTTTTACGTTAGGATCGTATCAATAGAAATTTAAGAAATATCATGTAAAAGATCAATAGTTATAATTAAACACGCGAATTTTCGAGACTATATTGTAAAGTGTATAACAACTCAATCAATCATATGGTAGATTAGCGACAGACGTTTTTCGTTAATTGAATAAAAAAAAAGTCTGTGGATATGCTAAAGTTTTAAGTCTAAAAATATTTGTGCGGAAAAAATTTTTTTTTTCTTTGGAGTCCGCAAAGATTTCTGCGGAATTGATTTTGAAATAGCTGTCCGCAGATTTCTGCGAGTAAATAAATAAATAATTTAATTGTTTATCCAATAAACTTTTGTGATTGATATGTTATATTTAAATTTTTTTGATTGACAAATCAGTCGTAGTTATACTGTTATACATAACATATTTTTGAAGGGTTCAATCTGCTAAACTGGCACTGCGCCATATTATACTGTTCTGCAAAGAAAATCGGTAAAAATAACACAAGCAAAAAAAATGGCGATGCGCAGTTTCTCGGGGTCATAAGGTTCTCATGAAGTCATTTTTAATGAACAATATCTTTTTTTTTCGATCAGTTGCCCCTTTGATTAGGCTGATTATAATGGAAAAGACTTTTTAGAACAATAAACGCCTAGTAGTATTTAAAGTTGATCCATGTGCCTAAATGAGAGTTGAGTAATTGTTTTGATTTTTCGGTATTGTTCACTTGAATATTTTCATTTCATTTTCTAAATGATTGTTATTATGAGCTCCTTTTTTTTTTATTTGTATTTTGACAAGATTTATGATGATATTTTTACGTGATAATATTTATGGAGTCTAAAAAAATTGCATATTTTCATCGCGCGGATCCCGCGGACGCCGAGACAAAAAAAAATGTCTAATCAAATTCGAGTTTGGGACATTGCAGATCCATGTACGATGTACCGTCGTAAAATAAACTCGGGGCGTTGCAAAGCGATTTCATGTGTTGAGAATCGTGATTTGATTCGTCCTTGTGATTGATTGAATATTCATGACCATCCATTCTAGACATATTCCTTTTCCAAAATGTAGTCATTTACTTTGTGTTACCATTATTAAATTTTGATTGTTGACTTTACATAAATACTTTAACCATTCTAATCAGAAAAATACAAGTACGCCAATCCTGTTTTCAACATGTTGTGTGAACGATTACGATCATACATTCAAATCAATGTATACTTATTTGGGCAATTTCAAAATTGTATACGTATCGAGGATAAAAGAACTTTCGAAAAAAAAAAAAAAAAAAAAAACTTCTTTGTAGAAGTGAAAGTTTTCAGAACCTTTGCATTGTAAGACCTCATAAAGCAAACTTACGCCATAAGCCAAGACATTTTTGATGATTTATTAAAAAGTAAAAAAAAGGCGAATTCGCATAAGAAAATTTATTTATTACGTACATGTACAGTACTATCAATATTAACAAAAACAAACAAATCCGAATCCCGGATACGAACATTCTCATGCATCCCCATTTGATAAATAAGGGTTATTAAATAAACTTTTTCACCTTTTTTTTTTTTTCTCTTGGATTTTTTTTTATTTTTTTTTTTGATGCCTAAAATAAGAATTCTTTTTTTCTATTGGTTGTAAATAAAATCGAACATTACACAATACGTATATTTTTTTATTATCTGAATGAAATGTATTCGAAATTTCTTAAATTAATTGTATCCATGTTTTGCATTTAGAAAGTCCAGTCACAGAGAATCTTTAATCGTTAAACCGACCGATAAATATTTCATTTTAATTTGAAAGAATCCATGAATCCATAAATGAATGTTGTCAGGGCGGGGTCATCGATTTACGTAACCCACCCGATCTCATTTGCACAATAAAAAAAAACAGGAAATTAACAATTAGCAAAAAACAATAATGCAGCTCAAGCATAAAATTCCAAAAAAAGGTTAGTGAGGGCTGCAGATCAACCTACTCCGCCGATTACCTAAATCATCCATATTAGATTCAATAAAGATAATAAAAATAGTTTTTTTAAAGCTTGCTATAACAAATCGGGAATGACAAAAAAAAAAAAGCTATTTTTATCTGAACGAAATATTACACATCGATTTTGATGTTGGGAATACGGCGCAGAGATTGGAATATATATAAAAGGTCAACCATTTCGCCTGATCCAAGGTGTTAAATCCATTCCTCCAAAGTAAATAATAATAATAATAATAATAAAAAAAGATATCACAAAGAATAAATCAATGATGAAACTTCAAGATCTTCTTCTCTTTGCGGTATTCGCAATTTTCATAATCCAAGTTCAAGCCAATATCAATGAATACGAGGATTATGAATACGATATCCCTGAATCTTGTGAAGAACTATTCGATACCAATTATTGCAACGATTGTCAAAAACTCATGTGGAGTCATTTCAAAAACCCTGGACAATGTGCTACGGCTATCAATTTAGGAAAGAAGATTTACCAAGCTATCAAGGATGCCAATGATACACCGAAACCTTATGAACTTCAATACTTTGAGGAAGGTCTTGTGGACTACTGTCACCAAGGATTCGATTGTAAACAAAACGAAGTCGAAAAGATTTACAACAACATTCAAGAAGTTTGTTACAAAGAATTATCGGTTAAATTCGATTGGAGTGCTGATCCTAGAACTTACACTGATAAGACCGCTTACGCCGCTTATGGAACCTTACTCGTTTACTACACTGGAATCCCAAGTCATGAAGCTCTCTGCTTAAAGGAAAATGGTGGTGGTATGTAATGATTATCATATTCTGCGCGATCATAAAACATCTTATCAATGCATATCAATTAAAAAAAAAAAATCTTTTTTTTCATAATCTTACAGAATACTGCAGTATCAAATTCATCAGGAAATTCGTTAATTGGATGAAGGAAGCAACTAACGCTGATCCAAAGGCAATTGTAACTCATGATCACAAATTCGTCATCAAAGGAGATGGAACGAAAATCCCTGTACCAAAATCATTCCAATGCGATCCATGCTGGAGAAAGATGGTCAAGATTTTCATTGATTACTTCAAAGAACATAAATTGAAGGAATCCGTTCAAGATAATATTTGGGGTGATGAGCACGAAGGTCTTCCAGAATGTGGTAATAAACGTGGATTGGCTTTCGTAATGAAGGAAAGAAGTGAATCGAAATCGAATTTGAATAAGCGAAACGCAATGCCCTCTTTTAATATATATAAGCATTCTTTAAATTTTTAATTTAGAAAATCGAATTTTTAAATTTTCAACTTCATACTTTACCTATTTTTCTTTTAATAATTGAATATATTACAACAATGGAATATACTGTATAAAATAAAAAATTGTGAATTTTATAAATAATAAATCAATTTCCATTATTTTGATCGTGATTAATGAAACGACAACATATGGTATCATATAAAATTTACTATTTGATTTATTTCACGTGCTTTTTCAATTGATCGATTAAAAAAATAATCCGAAATCTAAAGTTCGATAACTTCGATAACTTCGTAATTACAAAGATTAAATAAATACAAACTACGGTAACCCTAAAAAATATGACACGCTTTCTTGAAAAAATACAAGACAAAATTTTTCCAAAAGAGCTGTGCCTGAAAGAATTACTTTTATTTATTTTATCAACACAAATGAACGTTTTTTTTTTTTTTTTTTTTATTCTTTTTTTTTGAAAAACGAGCTGTTACATGAAAGAGACTTTGATTTAGAATATTTTTGTAGAATTTAGAACATAGATAATTAGAAGAGTTTAAAGTTATGAAATTATGGTAATACATTGATTTTAGTAAACAATTTTTTATCGCGCACCCCAATGAAAAATTAATTACTCGGGATAGATTGATGTTGTGAAACCTACAAAATTGTTTGTTTTTTGAGGGTTACCAATGACGGACGCCAAGAACTCATAAGGTACTCTTCAGATTTTAAATTAAATTCAAATTTTAATCATAATAGGAAAGCACACTGGAAAATAAATTCCAATTAAGAAGGGTATTGCAGTACAACTACTCTACTTACCTTACTTATACTGACTATGGCGTTTAATTGTTTTTTGACCGAATTTAAACGTCCATTATTGTACTTTTCTTATTAGGCGTTTTACACTTCTAAGCCTTAGTTCCAAATTTATTTTTCTATCAAATTTCTAAAAATATACAGTAATTAAAGTTTTTAGAATTAATTTATTAAAAATTTTTTTTTCCTGAAAACACGCCATTCAGAAGTATCCTATAGGATTAGATTTTGAAAATTCGCTTGAAGGGTTATTTATTATTTTTTTTTTTTTTTTAAAAAAAAAAAGCCTAAATCTGCTTTCTTTATGTAAAAACTTTTAAGTTAGATTGTAAAATATGAAGGATAAAAAATCTTCCATATATAATTGGGTTAGATAATATTTTGTCAGTATTGAAGCAGGAGAAAGTGATTAGACGATTTTTCATTAATCCCAATTTCTTTAAACGTAAGGAATTTTCCTTTCACCTAACATTTCATTGTAAACTTCGAAATATATTTTTTAATAAAGATCAGCATAAATTAAAGTTAGAATTTTCACAAATTTTGTGAAGAACTTGAGCAAATATATACTACACTTGCACATTATATTACGCTAGTTAATTAGTTTTTATAACTAGTTATGCAAGCCGTTAGAGCCGGTGAGTCATCTCTGTAAAAAATTAGTAGAGTCAACTCCATTATGATCGTGAATAAAATTTAGATACATTAATAATAGAAAATGATTTAGTTGTGACATGGATTGAAACGTATTTAGTAGCGGTTTACGACCTGTTCGAACGCGAGATGACCATTTATTTATTAATACATCCGGGCCGATAATGAACAATGAAAAAAAAAAATAATAAATTTTTTTTAATAATAAAAAAATTTTCAACTTTTCCGTAGAAACCATAACTATATTATATAGGTTTTACATCCACGGCCACATTGTAATTTCGCTATATATTTGTTTTCGATAATTGTAGTTGGTACCTGCAGGCCGTTCTAATTAATTTTTATTATATATATAAACAAACCACGATCGCCCTTCTTACATTCCTTTCTTCATTTGCGATATATTTCGCTTTCACCATTTTAACATTATAAAGTTTAATTTTAATTTCGTTTATTTTAAAATCCCATATTTGTAATTGCGCAGATTTAATTAGTATAGTTAGTAATTGGCATTGTTTAATATATTGACGAAAGTGTAGTGCGCAGGCGTTGATACTAAATAAATTTAGCGTCACAATTACTTCATTTTTATTCAATAAAATACTTCTGCTTAAAATACAACAATACTATTATCTAATAAGTCTAATAATTGAGAAACCAACGCAAAATAAACTCACCACAAGCGTTGTATTGAAATTATCAAAAGTGAATCATATGATCCGTAACGTGATTTTCGAATTCAATTTCAAAAATTATCGAGTCATGCGACTTAAAGTAAAATACTATATTCAAATTAGGCAGCTATTTTTGTAATACCATTGGGTAAATTACGCGTTTTTAATTACTATATAACAAGTAAAAAATAAATAAAAGGATAAATACACAGATTATACTTTAATTTTTTCACATAAAACAAAGGTGAAATCCTTTCGTCGAACAATCTTCAATATATATTTCGCACTTTTTTGCTCGTCCAAACTCAAGAAATCAAACTTCAAAAAGAAGGTAGAACCAAAATTATTATTATTCTTTTTTTTTTGCTAAGACCCCTTCAATTTTCAACTCGTGTTCTATTTTTTCTTGTATGTACATTGGATTTAAATAGTAATTGATGAGGATATCTAGTACTTACAGGGTGAAAATGGGCATATTTTATCCGGGAAATATGACCTAGAGTTTTGGTTAGTGCGAATGGGTGGCCCGCCCGAGATACCTTCTTTTTATTTTTATTTTATTAATTAACAAAACAACAGGCAATGTACAGTACATATCAAAAAAAAAATAAAATTTATTACTTTGCCACGTTAAACATCTTTATTAAAATATAAACAAAATTTCAACAAAGGAAGGACAATATGATAATATAATATTTTACAAATCAACTTTTAACTAATGACTTATAAGTATTTAAACGTCATTGGATGCGAGATAAAGGTATAGATTGTAATAATAAAATACGAGTATTACGATTCTGCAAAAGACGGATCGAAATTAATGGCGACCAACATTACCAAACCACATTTTCGCATTAAACAATAAAATCTTTTTTATTTCAGTAAGCAATTTTCATAGAAATACAGATACGATAATTAATTAAAGATATCAAATTAATATACAAAAAAATAAAAATTTATGAGTATTTTCTTTTTTTAAAAAAAAGAAATTGCATCAACATCATTGGTTGCTCAGAACCAATAAGAATATGTCTGAAACTATCAAAAATTGAAACTGCCCTTTATTCAATAAAAGGTTGGTATTGATTTTTTTATTTCAAACTATATTATTTCAATAGTATGTAGTATTTCGCAAGGTCAATGGTGGAAGTTTAATAATAGTAAATTGGAAAGTCTTTAAGAATATTTGAAATCTAATGATATTTATTTTAATATTGATATATATTTGTTTCTTTAGTGTCCATTTGAACTATTTAAGCAAATTTAATAATGAAGGTGTATTCAAATCTAATTTAATAATTCTAGTCCGCAAGATGGTTTATCAATTATGTAAAACAAATATCGTTATTAATAATATCATTGAGCGTTAAAATCCTAAAAAAGTTGAAATTTTTTATGATTAGAATATTTAACATAATTAATAATTGTTATTTAAATTAAATTTGTTTGCTATTTTTTTATTTCTTTGTAAAAAGTTTTTATAAATGAAAATATTTAAGCATCAATTCTATTTTATTTGCTTAAAATCATACATCCAGGCTTGTTATGGTAACAAAAGAAGAGAGAAAGAATTCTTTTTAATTTATTAGTATCACATGAGTTGATCTGATCAGCTGATGAAACCATTTTTTGATTAATAATCAAAAAAAAAATTTTGAAAGTAAATTAGACCAAGAATCTGGATTTTTGGCCAACAAGAACATCTTTCATTTAATGAAATTGAAGTGGATACATGCACAACATCCTAGCATTAGTAAAATTCCGCGTACTTTAAAAATTTTTTATCAAGATAGTTAGAGGTAATCAATCCCTTACAAAATGTTATTACCCAAAAATGACACTTTTGTATATTCTTATAAACAGGATCAGTACTGATGAAATTGACTCGTCTATTGTATAGTTAGATCATAAGGATAAAGAATCAAACTAATTTCGCATGGATTGAATTTAACTTTGTTTACGTATGGATTCGAAGTCAATGCCGTTTATGAGAAATATAATGTTAAAGCTGCGACATTTTTTGTTTGAATAAGTTTTATGCATGCTTTTATTTTTTTCGTTGATAATGTTAGTGATAAAAAAAGGGATTGGTCCAATCATGATAATATAAGTTTGGTAACGATTTAATATATTCAAAAAATGGAGTTCGGGAACAAATACATATCCTAATATCTCAAGAAAATTTAGTACTGATTATTATGAAGTATTTCTTCAATTTTGTTAGGATTAACTGCGCCATGCTATGTTATAAATAAATTCTTATATCACGTGAACTACGGTGCGACCAAAATAAGGCTAAAGATTTCCAAACTGGTGTTCATTATATGTTATAACAATATTAGGGGGTAAAAAAAAAAAATTTGTTACAGAACGATATTTAAAATGTCTTACGAACACTGGCAAGAAATTATTAATGATTATGATAATTTATTTGAAACTGGTGATAGACATGATGTTATTATCTTTGCCGGTCAAGATGAAAACGAAGAAGAAATACGTGCGCACTCAATTATTTTATGTACCAGGTCTCAATACTTTCGCTCAACATTCTCAAATGAGCGGGCCAAGAAAAAGGATGGAAAATTGATTTTTAAAAAGCCCGATATTTCCCCGGTATTATTTAAAATGGTTATACGATATATTTATTGTGGAAAGATTGATTTGACAAAATTAGAAGGTCCTGATATCCTAAAACTTTTGCTGGTAGTAGACGAACTTAACTTACAAACTTTAATTCCCTGTATTCAAGAATACGTAATTAAAAATCAATCCGAATTTTTACAACAAGATCCTATAGGAGTGCTTGAATCAGTTTATCAACATGAATCATTCACAGAGCTTTGGAAATTTTGTCTTGAAAAGATTTGTAGCGAACCAGAATTATTATTTAATCCGATAAATTGATTAGTTTAAAAGCACCTTTGCTGGAATTACTTTTGAAACGAGATGATTTAAACTTAGATGAAATAATTATATGGGATAGCTTAATCAAATGGAGTCTCGCACAAAATCCTACTATTCCACAAGACGTTACTAAATGGAGCAAGGAAGACTTCACTATCATAGAGAGGGTTCTTAATAGATTTATTCCGTTAATAAGGTTTTATTATATTACGCCAGAAAATTTTCTTGACAAGGTGTTTCCTTTTAAAGAATTGCTACCAAAAGATTTGTTCAAGAACATCTTTGCATTTCACATGACTCCAAATCGTGTATCAAAAGATGATATATTACCTCCTAGACAACCATGGCTCCGTTATATTTAAACCTCAGCATTTTACCATATTTGCCAATTGGATTGATAAGAAAGATGATTATGATTTGAGCGATAATTTAAGGAATAATCTTCATAATTTCAAATTGCTCTATCGTGCTAGTAGAGACGGAATGGATACGAAGATATTTCATAATAAATGTGATGACAAGATGTCTACTATTTTTGTCGCGAAAATTAAGGAATCCAATCAAATCGTTGGAGGTTATAATCCGTTAGATTGGAATGGCCAACGTATTTATAAAACTACGTCAGATAGTTTTATATTTGTCTTTAATGATTATAGAGATGTTAAAACAGGTAAACTAGGTAGAGTAATTAAAAGTAAAGAGCAAAGTGCTATAGTATGTAACAATGATTATGGACCAGTTTTTGGCATGGGTCATGATATTTTGTCTCCGAATAATGGACAATGGACTTATAGACCCAATACTTATCCTAACCTTAATATTCCTAATAACTTTAACGTTGATGATTATGAAGTATTTCATGCAGTTTAATAGTTACCCGTATTTCATAGCTTATATTGCCATTTGAATCTCAATTAGTGACAAATTTATAGAACATTTAAAGCTATTATTATTTATTAAACAATGTATCAAATATTATTGTTTTGTAGTTTCATGTGAAAAATTAATTCTTTCTAAATTAGAAATAAAAAATATAGGTTAAACAAATAATAAGATTTCGACAATAAGCAGATTTATTATTCAGATTCTGCGACCAATATTTTTCTCTTATCCAACGCATGCATGACCTACGAAACTGACAAATATATTAATTTATTCGCATTTTATATTCCATTTAAAATGCTCACATGTGTAGTTGTCTTACTGGCAAAACTCATTTTAGCAAATGGCAAATGTTTAAACCATATATTTCGGATTTGTTAATCCAATAATATTTTAAGAAAGATTTTCCAGTAGACCCTGTTGAAACTAGGGATGTAAACGGTTAAAAAAGAGCGACTCCGGTTCTGGAACCGATTATAATTTCAGCATATTCTGGCTTTTCCTGAGTTACAAACCATTTTTAACCAATTTTTAAAAATCGAACCGGAACCGATTCCAAGAGTCGGCTCAAAATCGGATTGTCATCAAATTAAAGGTAATAATAGGACGAATTTGTTTGATAACCAGTCAAAAAATTTTTTTAAATTGATCATAGCATGATGCTCTATGAGTATAAATTTAACTTAATGCTCAAAGTTTTAATTTACTTAAAAAGAGTCGAAGTAGAACCGGAGAGGAACCGAAATGGAACCGATAGAACCGTCCCCATTCCAAGTTGAAACCCGAGAGTCTTTATAATTGGTATGTGATCCCATGATAAATTACTTGTTTGTTGATTTCTGTACAAATGTACACTCTGACAGATCAAACAAATTCAAGAAGCTTTTTATCAGATTTAACTATAAACCTAACCTATACTTTAATTAAATAAAAAAGTTTAGATTATAGCTTTACCACATAAATTTTTTGAAAAATGGCAATAAGAACCAAACTTTTTTGCACGCAGAATAATAGTCGTTGCTCCTCGATCTGGAAGACCACCTATTTTAATAAAGCGTGAAGAACGAGCTCTTATACGTGAAAGTAGAAAAGTTTTTCTTAAGAAATTACTATAAACTTAATCTTGCTTAACTTATTAATATTGTACTAAATAAAAATAATTATTTGGCAAAATTGGAAAAAGAAAACCCTTTATTTCAGAAATGGTGTTAATGTCATTTAAAGTGATGAATCCCTGGTTACTTTCATTTGAAAAAATGGATTCCCATAGTAATTATGGAGGCATGGTTTGGGTTATCTTGCTAAAAGTAAGTTTGTTGTTAAGGAAAAATAACAGATGCGATATACAAAATTTTGTTAGAAGCCTTTTATATAAATTCTGGTGAAATATATAGCTTTAATTTCAAGATGATAATGCTCCGGTACATACTGTAGAGCAAATGCGGTACTTTGCATGTAAGAAGAAAATTCGACTTCCATGGCCAGCTCAAAGCCCTGATCTTAACCCAATTGAACATTTATGGAACCATCTTGGAAAGAAAATTTATGAGCATGAACCCTTACCAAAAAACAAGAGAGTACTTATTACAATTTTGGAAGATATTTTTTGAAAATTTTGGTAAATGGAGTTAAGCCGTATTGAAAATAGAGGATGTATTTATAGCAGATTTAGAAAAGTTGATAATCGAAGTCTGGCAATATAAATTTATTAAATAATGACGCATTCTATATTTCCTGTTCTGGAATTAATTAACCAACTTAAACGCTCAAAATTTAGGATATAAGAGAACATTTGCATTTTTATTTATAGTCTTACTTTAATTTTTTTCAAATCATTCGTATCTGAACATATATACTTAAAAACCATCGTTCCTTGTAAAAAACACCCTGATATTGCCATATCATGTGACTACATTTTATTAAATTTGTCATACTTTCAAACCGGTTATTAACAAATATATTATTTGGCGCTGGAGCGATTTTCGTCTTCATAAAAAAAAAATTTTGAATTTTCAAAAAAAAAAAAAAAAAAAAAATGACTTTTGAACATTTGCAAGAAATTTCTAAAGATTACGACAGATTACTTGAAACTGGTGAAGGACATGATGTTATTATCTTTGCCGGTCAAGCTGAAACTGAAAAAGAAATACGTGCGCATTCAAATATTTTATGTACTAGGTCTCAATACTTTCGCTCAGCATTCTCAAATGAGTGGGCTGAGAAAAAAGATGGAAAATTGGTTTTTAAAAAGCCCGATATTTCCCCAGATTATTTAAAATGGTTATACGATATATTTATTGTGGAAAGATTGATTTGACGGAATTACAAGGACCTGATATACTAAAACTTTTATTGGTATTAAACGAACTTAACATACAAACTTTAACCCCTTGTATTCAAGAGTATTTAATTAAAAATCAGGAATTCTTACACCAAGATCCTATTGGCATTCTTGAAACAGTCTATCAATATGAATCATTCTCCGAACTTTGGAAATTTTGTCTTGAAAAGATTTGTCGTGAACCTGAATTATTATTTAATTCCGATAAATTGATTAGTTTAAAAGCACCTGTATTGGAATTAATTTTGAAACGAGATGATTTAAACTTGGATGAAATTGTTATATGGGATTGTCTAATTAAATGGAGCCTAGCACAAAACCCTACCATTTCACAAGACGTTACAAAATGGAGCAAAGAAGAATTCACCATGATGGAAAGGGTTCTTAATGGATTAATTTCATTAATAAGGTTTTATCATATTACGCCCGAAAATTTTCTTGACAAGGTGTATCCTTTTAAAGAATTACTACCAAAGGATTTAGTCAAGAACATCTTGGCATTTCACATGACTCCAAACCGGGAATTGAATGTTGATATATTGCCTCCTAGACAAAACTATGTTTCAGTTATAATAAAATTTCAACATTTTGCCTTATATGCCAATTGGATTGATAGGAAGGATGATTTAAGCGATTGTTCCAAAAAGGTTCCTTATATCTTCAGGTTGCTCTACCGTGCTAGTAGAGACGGAATAGATTCAAAGTTTTTTCATATTAAATGTGATGACAAGGAAACTACTATCTTTGTCGCGAAAATTAAAGGCACAAACCAAATCATTGGAGGATATAATCCGTTAGACTGGCATGGCCGTCGTACTTATAAAACTACATCAGATAGTTTTATATTTTACTTTACTGATTACAAAGATGTTAAAACTGGTAAAATAGGTAGAGTAATTGATGGTAAAGAGCAACATGCTATATGTTGTTGGGGAGATTGTGGACCGTGTTTCGGCCGAAATTGTGATATTACGTCTCCGTCTATGGGAAAATGGTATACTAGTATTGAAACATACCCTGATCTTAACATTCCTAAAGGATATGATATCGATGATTATGAAGTATTTCAAGTAATAAAAAAGAATTGGTTTTATTTACCCTTATTTCCCAGCGGCTGCATTGCTATTTTATATTAATCGTATCAAAATTTATTATTATTATTTAAATATATAGTTCAATACTGCGTTTGTATTGTAAATTTATTTAAAACAAATTAAGGGTAACAAGCAGTGTTTAGAATATTGCTATGTGGTAAAGTTATCATGTTTCTTATATTTATTATTATTATTATATTATCATTTATATTTTATTAGTTATATTTTATTATTAGTATTTTAACTTGTATAAATATCATGTATTTTTTCACTTGAGTTGAAAGATAATTTGAGATAGGATTTTAGGATAAATCAAAAGTTCAATATAGGAATCTTATCAATTCATTTGCTATTATCTTTTATTGTGTCTTTATATAGGCGTGATTGTGATAAAAGTATTTTATTTAGTTCGACATATTGAATTAAAATGAAACGTTTTCTTTTACAGTTACCACGTCAATAATATAACAAAAATCACTTTATTAATTTTAATCCATTCTTTATTTTGTGAAATAGAATATATCGAAATACTATATTTTAATATTAACAAATGACCTTAAATGACCCAATAATTTTGATGACTTATTACCGGTCATTAGGTTATGTCAAAAGTCAAATGATCTGTGAAATAAGTTATTAATAAATTTTATAATAAATTATTAATAAATCAAAAATATAAAATAAAATATTTATTTTATAATAAAATTGACTTTAATTTAATAAGTTATAGATTAAGATAAATTAGAGCTTTCAATGTATCATTAAATAATTCAATAAATATTATTTGTCAATTAATGCTTATACATTATACTTTTTCTCTTTTCTTTCTTTTATTAATATGTGAGTTAGTTTTAGCCATTATAAAGTAAACTACAAGTTAAATAAGCTAGCTTGTGTTATAGCTCAACTCATAGCATAATTCAGCTCATTAACTTGCATTTTTTCTTTAAAGAAATAAATATAAAGGTATTTTTCTTTAAAAACAGCTTATTTTGATACGTTGCTTAAAGAATAATAGCTCTAGTAACATTTTTTAAAAAAAATGCATTCAATAACATTTCATTTAAAGAAGAATTCACTTGGTAATATTTACTTAGAAAAACATATCTTGTGGCATTTTATTAAAGAAAAATACACCCAGTAGCATTTTTTTAAAAAAAATGCTTTCATTTTAAAAGAAGAGTTTATATGTTGATCATTTCTATTAATAGATTATTACCTAAATGTTATGTAATTCTTGTACTAAACAAAATTTATTTGAAGAAAGCTTTACACTACCACTAATAGCTTTTTAAGAACTCTGAATTTTTGTTTATATAAGAAAATTTGATATTATTATAAAGTAATAAATAAGTTACTTAAAAATACTTTATTTTATTATATATATATACTACTTATATCTTATTTATAAGTAGTTATATTTTAATTAATATATAAAAGATATTAGAAAGGCTGAAATCAAAAAAAAAATTTTTTAAGATAGTAAAAATTTTGAAAATGAAAGAAAAAGGAGAAATAAAATAGTTTAAAGAAAATAAAATTCTTATAAAATATTTTATAGAAAAGATTTTTTTGATTTTTAAAGGGTGGAATTTTATTTAAATATTTATTTAGTTAATATAATAGTAATAATATAGTGAACTTGTTTATATCATCTTATCAATCATTTATCGATCATATATAAATAAATTATTACATTATATAAAATCAGCTGATTTTAAATTAAAAACTTTAGGCAATACAGCATATGATCAAATGCAAATTCTACAAATTAATATTTTAAATTATATAAAATATGATTCTAAAATAGTAAATCAAAGGTTAGGTATTATAAATAAGTTAGCTTAGAGCTGATATAAATAATTAAATAAATTACATAATAAATTAATTTTTTTAGACTTCTAAGATTTAGATAAAAAAAATAAATTCTTACATATGTATAAAATATTATATATAATTTAATTATTAAATATAAAAATAAAATTAGAATTAGAATCAATAATAAATTTATAATTTTTATTGTAATATCTAGTATAAGATTATAATTTTTAAAATTTCTAATATTATTTTTAATATGTTTAGCTTTAAAGATATAGTTGTAACATTATAATACTTATTTGTTACTTATTACAACTTAAATTTTAATAATATTGCAATTTGTTACAATATTGTGATACTTATTTGTCATCTGTTATAACTAATTAAAGTGTTATCTTTAGTTTAGCTATATTTTTAATATTTAAAAATTTAGATACTACTAAAATTTGTTTTTTAATTTGCTAATTTTTATTAATATAATGATTGTAAGTGAAATTTAACTAACTTTACTGTAATCATTTATCTATATATCTGTAGTAAATACATTACTCATAATTTTAAAATATTTTTAATTTAATATTAATAGATTCTGTATTTTTAATAATATTTTTAAAAATAGTAGTTGAATGTGAAAATAAATCATCAATTTGTAAAATACATATAGGAGTTTGCTATTAAAATCACATTATGAATCATATGATTTACTATGTTCATAACTCGATTTTAATAGTAAACATCCCATATGTAAAACTGATAATACTAATTATTTCTTAGGAAAAATTTTTAAAACCTTGACTTAAAATGATTTTAAATAGATGCAAATCTTTATACATAAAATTTATAATTTTTAGTAATTATATATATTTTTAATAATTCTAGAAAAGTTTTTTGTTAATAATATTGAAGTGCTATTTTATTAGAAAAATAATTGTGATATTTTAAAGTAGAGTACCAGTTTTCTAATTATATTTAAATTTATATTCACAAGTTTTATATATAATAAATTAATAAATTGATTATGTATATTAATTAAGCTTATCATAAACTTCATTTTTTTTCACTTTTACTTATATTCTAATTCATTTTTTTTTTAATTTTAAAATAATTTACTTAAGGCCATTCCAACTAATAGTATCATTTAATATCAACCCTCCAATTTTTTCAAAAAATTCAGATTTAAACGTATATTTTATATATTATATAATTTTATAAAATATAAAAATAAAATAAAATAATAATTGTTTTACTCAATTAATTGTTTATTAAAAGATTATTATACAAAAATTAATTTCTTTTTCTGTTTCTTGTTAATTCACTAATATTTTTCTTGTTTTAAGTATGAAAGAATAACCTAAAAGTTAATAATTAGAACAAAGTGGATATACAGATTAATATCTATTAAGTAAATCATCATTTGCTTTCACCAATGAATTATCTTTACCACAATAATAATAAATGAAAGATTTTTTTAGGTGATTTGAATAATAACCAATTTCAATTGAAGAATCATAGCTAAAAGATTGATGAATAAAAACAATATCTTTTAGCTCATATAAAAGTGGTAATCACTCTTCAATTTTACAAATAAAATCAGTATTATCTATTTTGAGCTGTAATGCAGACATCTGTTTTTTTTAAAACATTTATATTATAAATGCAACATAGGAAGAAGTTCATATAATTAGTTAATTCTGATAACTCAAAACAAATAATAAATAACAATAAAAAACTAATTAAAATCGAGTATTAATTTGATCAATTAAAATTAAACATTAATTTTAACATATTTCTTATTTATTATATGTTATTTATATTATTTTAAAATTTATTAGAATTGTATTTTAGATCATATATTATATCAATATATATATATTTTTATTTTTAATTAGAACAATCCATCGGAATACAATTATTTGCTAGTTATTGTTGAAGTAATTACCATACTGCATTATCTCAAGAAGCTAAAATATTATTAACAGATTCTTTATCATCATGATCATCATCAAAAATAAGATCAGATTCTTTAATTTTGATTTCATTATTTGAATCAAGTTGGTATAAATGATCTAAAAGTGATTATACATATTTATCAAATATTAGATTTTATAAAATTTAGGTAATGCATATATTTGAACCTATTTAGGTTAAAGTATATACTATAATATATATAATATATAATAATATCTGATCTGTTTTTTTGATAATAATAGTATTAGTAATAAGATAATTAGAAGAATCACAACTAAATAAACTAAGTTTATAAGAAGAATTATATTTTTAAGATAAATAACAAAGCTATGCATTCTTCATTTTTATTGCTAGAATAAAAAAACTGTTTTTATTATCAGATTTTCTTTTTTTTGATGAAATTTTGTAGTAACCTATAATGGAATTAAACATTGTATCTTTTTATAATTAATATAAATATAAATATCTAAATAGTAATCTAAAAGAAAGTATGTAATTTTTTGTATTAATACTGTAATATTTCATGAAGAATACTGATATATTGCTTAAGTTTAAGTGTAAACAAAATTTTCTTTGAATCTATCATAATACTTCAAACTAATCATGAAATTTAAAACTAGTTTCAAACTGGTTCAATTTTATACAAACTGGTCTTAGCCTATTTCTTCTAATAAATTAATTTCTAATGAAAAACTGATTCTTAAATGCAAACTGGATTGAAATTCAAAATCAGTCAAAACTAAAATATCAATTTATTAATAATAAACATATATTATTTTATTATAGTTCTGCAAATAATAAAATGTATCATATTTAAAGTTTTATAAACACATTAGATATTTGAAACATAAAAATTTAATGATTATACATAAAAATTTATTTCATTAATACTAAAAAATAAACTATTACTATAATATGTTTTTATTAAAATCTAATTTACCAGATGAAATTAATCAGATGGTGGAAAAATTAGAAATAAAGTTATATTACACTTTAAAAATAAGAGCTATTCAACTAATTCTAGAGCCAGACAATTGTGACATGCAGTAAGATGTAACTCAGCATCTGAAAAAAGCCACTCACTATGTACTAAGATTGCTAAAATAGATAAATATTTGTATACAATTCAGCTTAATAAGAAAAATCTTTTTGAGTGATCATTTCATTATATAAGAAAATCGTAACTTTATTTTTAGATGCTCAAATTCAAATAATCATCAAATTTATCAATATCTTATACAATATCATTTTTATTATTTTTATCATCAAAAAGTATATTAATAATGGAATTTATCAAAGAAGAAATAATATTAGTCTAGTTACATTAGATAGACCAGTTGCAACTGCATTTAACGCATTTTCAAATTTTTCATTAGAATAAGTC